CTTCCTTCTCCCCTCACCCCCCTCCCCCTCCTTCCCCTTAAGCCTCTCTTCTTCTCTCTGGGGGCGTCTTCCACCTTTTGAACATTCTCCAGGGGTCCCCCCTTTCACTTACACTCTGTTTCTTGGAGATCAACACACTAGTTCCTCCAAAGCAAATCACAGTTCATTCATAATCACTCACCCTCCTCCTGTATCCTCTTCCAGTGAGTGCCTTCTCGCTCAGTTCCTCTGAGGGTCCATTCATGGGGGGGGGACTCCCCAGGGTCTCTTCGGCCTGCTTGTCCAGTTCTCTGTAGATCTTCTTATAATTTCTTTTGGGCTCAAGGGGTACTAGTGGGATAGGGGGAGAATGAATCTGTCAGCGGCAAAGAGGTCGGCGTTGCTCTCTCACTGCAAAAAACGCCGGCCGGCCGGCTTCCCGATCTCCCAGTAATGCTTTGCGGCCGGTCACGTGATCGCACCGGCCCCCTTCGTCTCCCAGCGTCCAGGGACTCTCTCTCTGTCAGTCTCCAGACGCTCCTCTCACTCCCCTCGCCCGCGTCAAACTCTCCTCCAACGGGAGGCGCCAGGCCGGGTAAGTCCCACACCGCTGGGCTCTAACATGTCTCAGGGGCTAGGCTTGGAGGCTTGGGGAGGTCAGACAGCGGAGCTCGTCCACGAGCTCCTACATTGAGCTCTCTCCTGCCGCCATGTTCAGGCCCCGCCCCCCCCATAAATTGCAGTATTTATACCATAGTTTGTAGACGCTATAACTTCCACACAAAGCAATCAATATACACTTATTGGGATTTTTTTTTACCAAAAACATGGAGCAGAATACATTTTGGCCAACTTTGAGTTTACTATATATTTTTTATAGCAGAAGGTAAAAAATATTGTTTTTCTTCAAAATTTTTGGCCTTTTTTTGTTTATAGCGTGAAAAATAAATAGCGCACAGGTGATCAAATTACACCGAAAGAAAGCTCTATTTGTGTGAAAAAAAGGACGTAAATTTCGTTTGGGTGCAGCATTGCATGACCGCGCAATTATCAGTTGAATTAGTGCAGCGCCGAGTAGCAAAAAGAGACCTGGTCATTAAGGGGGGTAAATCCTCAGGAGCTCAAGTGGTTAAAGAGCTTTGTAGCACTTACGTTTTTTTGACTGCACTGCAACAGCAAAATGACCTTAACAGTTGGATGTCCCTGTGTTTATCTGCAGTAAAACTTTAGTATTCTGCAGGCAAATGCACAGTGAACGGCTTACGCAGCTGCAATGTTATTACGCACATTGTCCAGCTGAGGGCGCCCTTGCTTTACATTAGACATTGACTTTAGCGCATTTTCCCGCAGTAAAAAAACACCTGTTTAATATAATGATCACGTTTTCCTACAGATCCTATTTTTTCCCCACAAATATAAACGCAGAATATATATTATATATATATATATATATATATATATATATATATATATACACACATTTATTTATCTGCAACTTGGACTTATCTTGATAGATGATTACCCCATCCTGATGTTCATTCCCTCTGAAGGAATCCAGCTGTTGCTGCCAAATGTGCCTGTGAATAGATATAAAACAGGTACTGAGTCACACCATACACTGCACACTGCATATAAACTATCGCTAAACCATAACAACAGGATTAGCTTAAATATAGACTTTCTATTTTTGTCAGAATCTGCTGATCATCTGTCGCCATGGAAACACGCCACCAACCAGCCTCTTGCTGACTCCACATAGCATGTAAGTAGCTGACTACAAGGCAAGGACGAGTCATACAATTGCCGCCACAAGCTTGCGCCAGTCACCAAAATAGAATTAATGAATGGACTCAATGCTGAGAAAAGCAATGTTTTTCATTCCACTTTTTATCAATAGGCCTCTTAATATTATTATAGATATTTTTCATATGACATATCAGTAATGATTAAATGACTCAAGGTCATGTGACCAGATATTCTTTATTCTCCATACGCAGATAAAAAAAAAAACTGAATATATACTGTAGCTGACTCTGCCATCTCCTCGTCCATTATCAAGCTACGAAAAATGGCGGCACTAACAAGATTAGGCTGAGAATTGTATTTTAATTACAGTTGTAGTACAGGGGAACAGGGGAACATGCATGTGATCACACTGCACCATTTCAGAATTCAAATACTTGGCTGGAAAGAACTTTAAAAAGTTTACTGAAAGGGTTAATCTCATGCTGATCAGTAAGGGGTATTTCATTGCATTTGCCAGCATGCCTAAAAATTACCCTAGCAGATTTAAAAGGATGCCATGCTGATAAAAATACAGAAGCTGCCTTTTGGTAGTTGCCTCTTTTACCGATCAGTGAGAGTTTTATCCTCAGATTTCAGTACTTTCTGATTGATAAAGATGAAACCTCTATTATCAGATCAAAGTTTTATCCATTGGTAGCTGCTTGCTTCATACCCCTGGTTCACATACATGCAGCCTTGTGGGCCACGTTTTGTGCGGGCATGAGAGCCCATTCATTTGATTGGACTTCTGTGCCCGTGACACGCAGGGAAGAAGTCCCTGCACTTCTTCTAAAAACGCAGCCCGCACGGCAACCTCGGTTCCCGGTACGGTTGCATTTTCCAGTGCGGGCGGCGTTGCCATTAGAACTAATGGAGGACATTGTATCAGTAAATTCCTGTTTTGACCATTTATAAGGAACATTTATTTAGCAACCAAAAAAGACAAATATAAAATGAAAATAATTATAAAACCATTGATAGATCAAAACATAGATTAAAAAAACCCTAATATAGAAACAACGTTGCGTAGCGGTGACCTTGTCAGGCTTTGGAGTGGAGGCTACAGCTGGAACAAAACTTATAACTAGTCCTCATGGGCCTGGTTGATTTTGCTTTTGCATTTTGTTTTAAACTTGGTCATATGTGATCTCGACTTCACACTAGGCCAATGTCCCGTGTATAGATGTAGTAAAGAATCAGAGCCAAACTGTTTAACTATCTTACACAATATTGGATATGTGGGAAATGATGAGTTCTGCTCCTGTTTGGCAATGGACTATTTTTTTAGAGTTATAGAGAAAGAAAGTAAAGCTGAGTATACACATATTGGAATTTGGTCGTACCATCACGACCTGGCTGAATTTCAGTCCTCTCTATTCAACAGAAGCCAGTCATTAGACTAGCTTCTGATGAACAGTCCTGCTGAAAAACCAGCATTCGATCAGCTGCTGCAGCCAATGGCTGTAGCGTTGATCAGTGTATTCTGATAGGGGAATGAATCCCTGCTGTCAGAATATAATAACGCAGCGGAGGGAAATTCCTGCATCCACATTACTTGTGTGGTATATACAGGAATCTGTGTGTATTCCCAGATTAAGAGCACACTGGCCCTGTGAACACATTGCAAGAGTTTATTGCAGGAGAATAGAAACACAGAACAATGGAATGTCTACATGAAAGAGCTAGCTTACTATCTTACCACATTATCCATTCTGCTGCTAGCAATTTTCCATATTCGGTCATGTTACCTTAATTGGGTGATGACCATTAGAATTCTTCCTGAATCCCTATAACCAGATATTGGCGGGATCTCTCCAACACACACCATATATCTGCCGAATAAGCTCCCTAGATCAGATTAACAATGGCAGCTCAAATTAGGGATATGTATTAATTATAAAGAGTGGAGATTGGTGGTACTTTCTGCCAATGACTACGAGACATTGCAATCTGAATGGTGAGTAATGCCTTTCATGGACAGTAATAGAGACTCTAACCATGTGTTGCCTTTGTAGATGTCCACAGGGCTGTTGCAAGGATTTTTTGTCTACATAGGTAAAAGTACATTTGCTAATCCCCATACCATCATCCCATTTAAAATTTCGAATTCCCAGCTAGTGGCTGTAGATTTGGATTTTACTGACCCCCCCTTACATCCTGGTGCCCTAAGGCGACTGTCTAAACTGCCTTAAGCTGATACAAGCCCTGGATGACCACCAGGAGTCATTTTTGAAGGCTCTCAAGTGCCGTAAGTTTCAACCTGTCAGCTGTCATGTGTTCCAAAACCACTTTTGAGTTCAAATATCTCTTTGCTGGAGAGAAAAACAAATAGCTTGTTTAAGTAGGACAATGGCCATGGGAGACCAGAAAAACAGTAAAAGGCCCGATATGTTGTTACGTTGTTAAAACTTATTACCATTCTCTTCTTTGCTTACTCTGTTAATTAAACAGGGGGCAAATTCTGCTAAGTAAGATTGGTGTCTTCACCCCATGTAAATTATTTTATATGTATTACAACTTTGTATTTAGATGAGTGTCCGCAGTTTTGCCTTAAAGCCCAATCTCAGAAAAAAAACACTTTGCATTTTGTATAGAACAGTTTAGAGTAGGGGGCTCTGTTAAGGTTTTTATTTCTATCCATTTCCCTATTTGGAAGAGTTTCCCTCACTTCCTACCAGGATGAAAAAAAAAGTCTCCTATGGGGATGCAGGCATAAACACCTCTTAACCACTTGCCTACCAGGCACTTATACCCCCTTATTTACCAGGCCAATTTTCAGCTTTCAGCGCTGCCGCACTTTGATTGACAATTGCGCGGTCTTGCAACATTGTACCCATATGAAATTTTGATCATTTTTTTCTCACAAATAGAGATTTCTTTTGGTGGTATTTAATCGCCACTGGGCGCTTTACTTTTTGCGCTATAAATACAAAAAGTGCAAAAAATTTGAAAAAAAAAAAAAAGTTTCTTTGTTTCTATTATAAAATTTTTCAAACAGGTAATTTTTCTCCTTCACTGATGTGCGTTGATGAGGCAGCACTGATGGGCACTGATAGGCGGCACTGATGGGCACTGATAGGCAGCACTAAAGGGCACTGATAGGCAGCACTAATGAGGTGGCACAGATAGGCGGCACTGATAGACAGCACTAATGAGGTGTCACGGATAGGCGGCACTAATATGCAGCACTGATAGGCGGCACTGATAGGTGACACTGATGATGGGTACTGATAGACGGCACTGACTGGCATCACTGCTGGGCACTGACTGGCGGCACTGACTGGCACAACCCCTGGGCACTGACTGGTGGCACTGATTGGCAGCACTGGTGGGTGGCACTGGTGGGTGGCACTGGTGGGTGGGCACAGGTGGGTGGGCACAGGTGGGTGGCACTTCTGGGCACAGGTGGGTGGCACTTCTGGGCACAGGTGTGTGACACTGCAGAGTGGCACAGGTGGGTGCACTGCTGGGCACAGGTGGGTGATCTGCTGTGCACAGGTGGGCGGAGCTAGTGGGCGCACTGCTGGGCACAGGTGGGCGGAGCTTGCGGGTGGCACTGCTGGGCACCGATCATCAGGGCACTGATCATCAGTGCCCTGATGATCGGTGCCGATCCCCGCTCTGACAACTGCCGCTTCTCGGCAGTACTTTCCTCACGATCTGACAGCGTGAGGAAAGTGCAGCCGATAACCGGCACTTGCATTTTCCTCTGATCAGCGTGTCATTGAACACCGCTGATCACGTGGTAAAGGGCTGCTGTGATTGGCCTTTTACCACATCACGTGATCAGCTGTGTCCGTAGGACACAGCGATCACAGAGATCGCCGGGTGCGCGCCCCCCCCGGGGCGCGCAGGAGAGCGCGTTCTGGGAGGACGTCATATGACGTCCACCCAGAACTGGCCGGCCGCAGTGCAGCCGTCATTCGGCTATCTGCGGTCGGCAGCTAGTTAAAGTAGAGTGAGAAAGGGTTGCAACTTTTGAAAATTACCTTCCTGTCTCATGAAAACTGCTCCCCTAAATTATTGTACGTGTAGAGCTACCCTCTTGGGGGCTACTGAGTTTTTGGGTCCCCCTTAAGCTCTGCACAGCCAGACAACACACATTTTCCGCACTTGCATCCACACTCAGTAAACAGTCCATGAGCTTGTTTGTTTTTGTTGTTTTATTAAGGGTTAACAATTAGGATGGGGCCTAGGGGTATATGGTATGCCCAATGGTACTGACACAACTTGGAAGACAACTTCTTTGGCACAAAAAGGACAAAATCAGCAAAATTATGATAGAACAGAAGATTAGATCTTAGGCTCGCTACTCCTTCAGGAGTGGCTTTTATCTTTTCCTGAATCAGCACACAGTCTTTGCAAGCAGCACTTAGTCCCCTTAAATGAACCTCCTCAGACTCCAAATGAAAATCTCCTCATCCATCTGGCTGTCTTGAAAGTATCCCAGGGCAAGGAATTCCAAGACATACAAATTACGCACTCCCAGGGAGAAATAGTTGGGTATTGCACCTGACCGCCCTCTCTCTTCTTTGGCCCAGGTGTGTAGAAGTATTCACATTGTCCTGTTCCTGTAGCTTTAAAGGTTAAAGCTGCTTTCAGGCCTTACTCTGAACTGGCTTCTTCCCTGCTGACAGGCTGTCTTTCCCCAGTAGACTATGGGACATTGCAGGTCCTTCTATCCAGCTTCCAGCTTGTAGACAGACCCCCCCTACCCTGGGTCCCCCTTCCAGGCTCCGCACCAGCAGCACTTCCTCACTCCATCTTCAAACAGACTCCCCTGCTGACCAGGATCTCTCATATTTAAGGGTTGACCTAGCCACCCTGCCAAGCCTCCTGCCTTGGGATTAGCCATATCAGCACCTCCTTACCCCCGCCCACTGGCTTCTAGAAACCTCTGCAAGTTTCTAGAGCAGGGGGATGTATCAGAGAACTGACCTGCAGAGCCCACCAGCCTTAACCTCAAATAACCTCGCTGACTCATGCCCAGGCTGACTCATACCCAGGCTTCTAGCAAGCCTCTAACTGTACAAAAAAATTCTCTCCAACTGGGTTACAGAAAGAAATAAAAACATGACAGAAATTTTACCATTTACCTCTTCCCCGCTCTATCCATCACAAAAAAACACATTTGGCTGGAAATATGCTTTAAATAAGCTTGGTGAGTAAGTATAGGTATGCTTTAGTTCTCCACCTCACGCATTCTGTATATACTGTATATATACAATACTGGTCAAAAGTGTTAGACAGGTGTGAAAAAATGCTGGACATAAATAGAAGTGTTAATAGTTTATTTTTTATTAAATAACAAAGTGGAACCTAAATGAACTGAAGAGAAATCCAAATCTAATCAATATTTGGTGTGACCACACTTTGCCTTCAAAACAGCATCAATATTTCTAGTTACACTTGCACACAATTTTTGAAGGAACTCGGTAGGTAGGTTGTTCCAGGCAGCCTGGAGAACTAACCACAGATCTTCTGTGGATGTAGGATGCCACAAATCCTTCTGTCTCTTCAGGTAATCCCAGAACAGACTTGATGATGTTGAGATCTGGGCTCTCTGGGGACCAAACTGTCACTTTTCAGGACTCTTCTTTACACTGAAGATAATTCTTAAAGACATTGGCTGCATGTTTGGGGTCATTGTCCTGCTACAGAATAAATGTGGAGCCAATCACACTCCTTGATGGTACAGCATGATGGATAAGTATCTGCCTGTATTTCTCAGCAGTTAGGACACCATTGATCCTGATCAAATCTCCAACTCTATTTGCAGAAATGCAGCCCTAAACTTGAAAGGAACCTCTATCATGCTTCACAGTTGCCTGCAGACACTCATTTATGTCCCGCTCTCCAGCCCTTCAGCAAACTAACTGCCTCCAGCTACAGCCAAATATTTCACATTTTGACTCATTGGTCCAGAGCAATTTCTGCCATTTTTCTGCACGCCATTTCCTATGTTTTTGTGCATAGTTGAGTCGCTTAGCCTTGATTCCACGTTGTAGATATGGCTTTTTGGGTGCAAATCTTCCATGAAGACCATTTCTTTCCAGATTTCTATGGGCAGTAGATAGGTGTACCTGGGTCCCACTGGTTTCCACCAGTTCTGTGCTGATGACACTACTGGACATCTTCTGCTGTGGAAGGGAAGTAAACATGATGTGCCTTTCATCTGTTGGATTAAGAATCCTTGGCTGACC